AGTCCAGTTTTACACACACTGTTGGGCCTACTTTATTCACATGAAACATAATAATTTGTAATAATAAGATAAGTCTTTTCATGTTACAATTTTCAACATAACGTCTGTGAGAAGGTCAGTGTTGAAAAGTAAATGATCGTTGGAAATGTTTTTAAATATTCGCTAAAGTTTTGTAAACAATTTAAGAAGACTGTCGTTAATGGATTAATTAAATTAAATTTTCAATGATCAATCCTTTTGAAGAAAGGCCTTCTATAAACATTTTTTTTTTAAAAACAAGTTATAGAATTATATTCAATTTATAAATAGATTTATTGTTCATCTGAATATTTTTTATTTTTTTATTAGTTGATTAAACAATTATTTTTTAAATAATTAAATTTTTTATTCATACTCTCTTTTTTTCTATCGGACTAAGATGGACAAAATGGTGAGTGATAATTAAATTAAACAACATTAAAATAAATACTTTATGCCTCGCGTTTTCTCCTTAACTTAATCATTTCATTTGAAAAGGAAACTTTTGATTAACAATGGAGTAAATGAAAAATTAAGGTCCCCAATAAACTGTTCATAAGAATTTTCATGTAATTCACTTTAGTGCAGTTATATACGTAAAAGAAAATTCATCTATTTTTTTTAAACGTATAACTTAAATTAAACACAATTTTTTGTGTTGATATTTTGTTTCATATATCCCATTGAACCCACCAGTCAATCTCTTTCAATAATCTACTATATAAATTTAGTTGATCATCTAGCAAACTTAACGTGACTACACTTGTATTAGACTCTAATTTTTGTACTATGCAAATTTAACAAAGCTTTTGTTGCAAATGTTAACATCCATAAATTAAAATAAACTAATATTTGATGGTTCATTTGTCGGAGGATAAACACCGTCTCAACTGACAATTTAGTATCATTGTGTTTGCACGCGTGCATTGAGACTTTGGTGGTGTGGCTTCTGATATATTTGCATCACCGTATGCGATTCATGAGACCGTTCCTAGAGTTGCAGTATTGACTGGACATTTTGCAGGGCAACCATGACTGCTTGTATACTTTGGTCTCTACTATTGTAATTAATTCAGAAAAATGAAACTAAATATTATTGTGACATTGAACAATCAACATGCAATTATGTGCTTTCTTATTCAATGAAGATTTAAAATAGAGGTAATATGTTACATATAAAACTTTCGCAAACTGAGAATTTCAATTTCTACTTAAAAATCTTAAACTGTTTCATTAACATCTTTATATTCTCTTTTTTTTTTCAGAAGTGAAACCTACAGTCCGTAAGTTTTTTTTATTTTTATTTCAGGCATATAATTAAACTGTAATTAGAGTTGATTAATAATTCATTTTAAAGTCTTGCATTGCCCAAATTAAATATTTCATAAGTTTTATATTAACATCAATTGAGAATGTTTTACTATAAATTAGAAATCAGCTTTCTCGACATGTTTATTAATAACATTTATATTTGCCATTTTTCCTACATACCTCTCTTCGTTACACCAGAACGTAAGGACTTCTCATTTTATTTTAGAATTATTTGCTTAAAATGTGTTCTCTCCGGGACGAAAAAATGAATTTTTGAGATTATTACTGAGCGGACTAGGCATGGGCGCCCGCAGAAAACTTTCTAGGGGGGGGGGGGGGGTGGGCAAACAAATCGATTAACTTTCCAGGCAAAAAAAGAGATTATTACTGAGCGGACTAGGCATGGGCGCCCGCAGAAAACTTTCTAGGGGGGGGGGGGGGGTTGGGCAAACAAATCGATTAACTTTCCAGGCAAAAAATTGTTAGTAATGTTTTAATATAGTTTTAATTTACTGTAGCGTATTTGTATGGCAGATGAACGGACAGGACATCAGCTTAGTTACTTTCTCTTTATTTTCTCTTTACTTTAATAAATTTTTTGTCTATTTTTGTCTAAAAAATTTTTATCCAATCAATCAAGGGGGGGAGGGGCAAGTGCCCCACCTTGCCCCTACCTGCGGGCGCCCATGGGAGTAGGTGAACTAAAAATTGGTCTCTCTTTGCTACTTGTTGAGATTACAAATACAATAATAATCGTTGTCAAATTATTTAAAAGAGATTAATTTTTACCTTTTTTTTTTCCAGCCAGTTCTGATGAGATCGATTGTAAGTAAAAATTGCACTTAAAAAATACTTCATAAAATTATAATACTTGTTTACGATAACCTCTTGTTAACATAATAATTTTGGTAAAAAATGTAACTTGATTTTTTACTGTGAATAAATATATTTTTCTTATCTTTCGCGTTCCAGATGAGGATGAAGATAATGGCGTTACTGGTAACAAAACTCATATATATATATATATATATATATTTTAAAATAATAAAATCAAATTTTTATTGTTAGCCAAGCATGGGAGAAAAAATGTTAAACTAAATATTTGAATGTTTGTTGAAACATAGGTTAATTTGGGTATTCTTCACTGCAGGTCTATATCTATATTTGTACTATATATATAATTCATTTTAAAAATACTTCTATGTTATCTTAATTTGAGCGGTATTTAATTAATTATCTCATTAATCATAAGAAATTTGAAAAATAAACCAATGTTTCCACAATCTTTGTTTCAGCCAAACCTCCACCAGCCACCAGTGAGTTGGATGTTTTGTTATGTTTTTTTTCCTATTAAACTCTTATATTATGTTAGATCTCGGGGGTCATATCCTTTGACCATGGACGGGTAAAAGCTGGGAGACCAAAATGGCGGCGGTCCGGGTCTTCAGCTTTAGAGGGGAGCCAAAATTATATTTTATCACTATATATATATATATCTATATATAGGCTATCCCATAGCAGAAATGTGGGCGTAAACCGGAAGTAAGAAATTAAGAAAATAGAATGAAGCATTTCTGAATTTCACGTTCTAAAAATAAATAGAAAGAAAACAGGTGGATACTAATATTTTGGTCTGTTTTTTTTTTTAAATAACATGCAGAAATGCATCTTCTAAGCCTTATTTTCATTTCTGTGTTGGACAAATCATGTTAAAATAAAGATGATCCGTTTTGTCATAATTGTAAACATATTTTAACCCGAAGTTTACGGTGTTGGCTGGTATCTGCCTTATGTCAAACATAATATAGTTTCTTAACATATATGTATATTTACAAACATCTTTCAATGGAATCAAGTAACCCTTATAAGTTGATATTTCTGTTTCAGCCAAGGCTCCACCCCCTACTCGTAAGTCTATGCATAAATCATTTTTGGGTTGTTGTTTTTGTAATTAGCTGTTAGAGAAAGATTCTTCAAGTACAGATCATTCTATTTTAAACAACTTGTTCACACGGTCACAACTCTATAGCCATCATATTTCATACAGCATTTAAACAAAACTCGTTTACTTAGTCACATTTTTATAGGCCTCACTTAGTATATAACGTATTGTATCAACATTCACAAGCTACAAGAACAGACAAAAAAAAGGACAAGCCAGATGGGAAGTGCATGTCGCGGGAATGCCAGACAGCAGACTTCTTTAACGACTTATATTCGGTGAACTCTTCAGTGGGAGGGCAGAAGAAAAAACTCTTCAAGGACTGTCTAAATCTTCACTTAAATCCGTGGGCACTGACATTGATTCGTGGGAGACACTTGCCATGGACCGTGCAAGCTGGCGTGGTGGACTCACTGTCGGAGCACACAAGCTGGCGTGGAGGACTCACTGTCGGAGCACACAAGTTGGCGTGGCGGACTCATTGTCGGAGCACACAAGCTGGCGTGGCGGACTCACTGTCGGAGCACACAAGCTGGCGTGGCGGACTCACTGTCAGAGCACAATCCTAAGAATATTAGGACCTTTTAAAGGACCCAAAACAACGTGATTCCTACGTGCAGGAAAGCTTTCCAGGCACATATAGACTGCCAGGAAACTTGAGTACTCATCGTGTAATAGAGAATCGGTCATCTTCGCATGAGAAAGGACGAAAAACAAAAAAATATGTTACATTTTATTTAAACTCGTTCACAAAATGACAAGTCTGTAGGCCTTATATCTGACGTCAAATAGGATTTCTTCAACTGCTTCATTTCTATCAAACATCATCTCGAATTTACTTGAAAATGATAATCGAAGATTTCTGGACAAAATTATGAATCTGTTCTACAATGATGAGGTGGGACGTGAATGTTGATATCTGGCTGATTTTCGTAAAGGTGTTAGAAATTGGGCTACGATAATAGTTGAAAAAAATATGAGAATGTTCATGTTGCATGATGACACATTTCGTTATGGCGATGCTGTGAATTAGATCGGGGGTCGGGATTATTTGGTATTGTGCAGGTGTTGACCGTGAGAGGTTTTGTGCGCGTGTGTTTGGTGTTGAGAGTGTATGTGCAGATTTTGTCCATGTGCTTGGTTATTTTGGACGTATTTGAGTATGGGAAATTGCGTTGTGATTGTGTTTTGGTTTTGGATGGCAGTGATGGAGTGATCATGCAAAGGAGTGTTAGAATTTCGCAGCGGTTTGTTTAATAAACAGACATTTGACACGAATCTAGTGGTTTGTTAAGTAATTGAATTCCCCCATAGGACAACGAGGCTATTGAACTGTGGTAATATCGAGATCGTAACACTGGAGTTGGTGATTTATATTGTGATTGGAACCCCCCTGGACAACGGGGCGTCCACTGCCCTCAGTAAACGAACCTTCTGCAGGAGTTGTTCATGTCTAAGGCATGAAGATACTAACAGGTGGAAGTTATTAACGTTGGAAAAACCCTAACAGACGTGTTTTTGGTTTGGTATTTTGATGTATCAACTCTGCTGGAATGACCGGTAATTAACATGTTAACTCTTCTCGACGGAGGCATTTTTCTTGGAGCTAAATTCATCGCCAAGTCTGTGAGATGTAAAGACTTCACATTAGGACGCGTTGCAATATGCAAGCCTCACATTCACCAACTTTTCAATACATTTTTTCATTCCTCTTTTATGATGCTAAGTATCCATGATGTCATTGAATGCTCTTGTTGGTTTTTTTTTTTCCTTAGCGACTCCAAAACCTTGTCCCGCCCTGGCGGACATCGTGTTTGTTATAGACTCATCCGGCAGCTTAGGTCCGGACAACTATAACAAAGAAAAGAAGTTTACCATCGACATCGCCAAACGTTTCCCCATCGGTCCAACCGGCGCTCGCTTCGGTTGCGTCATCTTCAGTTCAACGGCTGAGAGCATGTTTGACCTGTCCGACGACCTGGACCGGGCATCTCTTGAGGAGGTACATTTTACATTCCTGGACGGACGTGATTCTAATCGCAGCGTGTTGCGTTCAGTGTTATTTTACTTGAGCAAGTACACTAGGTTGGCTTGCACGCTTTTCTCTCCAGGGTAAACCAACCCAGTTACAGAACGTACCACAATTATTTTACATGGTCTGGATAAGCTGATAAGCCCCTATCATTTGTTGTTTTACAAGACTCCACGATAATCTTAGCGTATTTAAAAAAAAAAAATCTCTATCTAGCACAGTGGAATATCAATCTATCTTACGACACAGTTATGTTTTCTAATCATATGCATCAAAGAGATATATTAATTGATTCCTTAAAGTAATATTCCTTAGTTTTGTTTCCATCCGCTCTAAGCTTTTATAGTTACCATGCGTTGATAACCATGATTTCGTAATGATCAACCAGGCCCTGGAAGCTCTGCCCTTCTTGAACGCAACCACACACACTTACAAAGCCTTCGATCTCGTGTCGGAGGAAGGCATGTTTGCTGAGGACAACGGTGGCAGGAACAAGGCTGCAAAAATAATCATCTTTTTGACGGATGGGTTGTCCGACAACACAGCCAAAAGTACGTTGAAATTAGATAGCTCTATAAACAGCATCACATGACTTTTCCATTCGTTTAAATTTTTATGTTGTATTGTCATAAAGAAATTATTTTTTGCACTCATTTCTAAATCGTTATCCATTAATGTATCAGTCCATAACACATCCATGTATCAGACCACAATATATCCATATATTCCAGTCCATAATGCATCCATATGTCAGTCCATAATGTATCCATGAATTAATACATATCCAGCCAAGGATAAGACTAATTAAGATTAAATGTATTTGGTGTGAATACATTGCTACCCAACAGCCACTGAAAAAATAATCACTAATAAAGAGTTTAACTAAGGGACTGTATAGGCCTACTTTCACTGAGCAGACAGTAGATTGAATAATTAGGAGGGGTAGGTTGTGACGGACGGGTCACGTCAGTAAAGTCAAAAGTTGTCACAAAAATACGAGATCTATTCGGTTATCTTCCAGCTTTGAAGGTACAAATTTCATACCAAATATTGGAGAAGGAAAAGCTTTATATGCTCCCGTCTTTATTTCATTGACTTAATGTACATGATCGTGACAATCTCTGTGTCTCCTGAACGTGATCGTGACTATATCTGTGTCTCCTGTACGTGATTATGACAATCTCTGTGTCTCCTGCACAGGATCGTAACAATATCTGTGTCTCCTGTGCGTGATGATGACAATATATGTGCCCCCTGAACGTGATTATGACAATATATGTGTCTCCAGAACTTGATCGAGACAGTCCCTGTATCTCCTTTACGTGATTGCAACAATATCTGTGTCTCGTGTACGTGATCATGACAATATACGTGTCTCCTGCACGTGATCATGACAATCTCTATGTCTCATTTTGTGATTATGTCAATCTCTGTGTCTGAAGTACGTGGTCATGACAATCTCTGTATCTCCTGTACGTAATCGTGACAATATCTCTGTGTGTACTCTACGTGATCGTGACAATCTCTGTGTCTTCTATACGTGATGATGATAATCTCTGTGTCTCCTGCTACAGCCGCAGAGGCCGCCCAGGCGCTCAAGGACCAGGGAGTGTCAATCATCTCTGTTGGCATTGGTCAGTACTCACTCGCAGAACTCAAGGCAGTGGCAAGTGATGATAAGAACGTCTTCACAGGGGCTAGTTTTGCGGCCATTGAGAAGATAACACTGGAAGTGGCGGCACGCGCATGTCAAGGTCAGTGACAGAATAAACGAATTTGTAAAGAAAATTATAAATGGATGTTGTCTTTTTTGCGAGAACACTAAACTATTAGGATAAAGACACAGTTACTTATAATCGTACAATTTAATTTTAACAATTTCAACAGCTGAAAACGTATTGTGAGAAGAGAAAATGGAAATAAAGCCATTGGTTGTAGACCTAGTGTTTTTAAAGTCATTTGTTTTAAACTTACAGTTTATAGAGCTATTTAGTTATAGACCTATTGTTTATAGAGGCATTGGTTATAGACATACAGTTTAGTTACAAACCTACTTTATATAGAGCCATTAGTTATAGACCTACTGTTTATAGAGCTATTCAAAATAGACCTATTGTTTAAAGAGATACTGGTTATAGACCCACTTCTTCTATAGCAAATGGTTATGGAGCTAAAGGTGATTGGGGTGTTTTTGAGAAAGCCTTCGGTGAGAATGTTATTGCTTACAGATGTATTTATGATTGAGCTATTGGTAATAGAGCTACTGGTGATGGAGCTTATGGTGATATAACCATAAGGCCCAGGTTATGTAGTTTATCGTGATAGAAATATAAGCTATTATGGTGTAGATTATGGAGATAGAACTTTTGCTTACAGAGCTATTAGTGTTAAAGTGGAGCCGTAGCGTTACCTTTGGCGCCCCATGCCACGTTTAAGCTTGGCGCCCCATGCCACGTTTAAGCTTGGCGCCCCATGCCACGTTTACGCTTGGCGCCCCATGCCACGTTTACGCTTGGCGCCCCATGCCACGTTTACGCTTGGCGCCCCATGCCACGTTTACGCTTGGCGCCCCATGCCATGTTTACGCTTGGCGCCCCCTGAATTCAAAGTAAATATATTATTTTTTTCGACATACAAACTTTGGGCCCCCTTTTATATCTGAAGTCGCCTTCAGTCGCAGAGGTTACAGGGCCCACTCAACAACACGCTGATATAGATATTATTCATGGAATTTTTGTTTTGATAGCATTGCACATATTGTTTTGAGAAGTCCTTGGTCACTGGTTGCGACGTCACTGGTGATAGAGTTGGAGATGTTAAAAGATTTGTGTGATAGTAATATATGTGTCAAATACATGATTGACGGGGTCATTGGTGCCTTTCGTTTGTCAATTGTTAATTATGATATTGACATGTGTTCTTGACCAAAATTTCGTTAATACATAAACAATTCTAAGCTTGTGTTCTTATGTCCAACAGTTCCATCCGAGGGGAGAGTTTACCAGGTACCTGATGACAACGAGGAGTAATAAAAGTATCTCAATGTTCATTTAATGACGTCATTGCACTCACGTTTGAAATAATTAATAAAAGCATTTTAATAAAATGTTCAAAAATGTGCTTTTGTTGATTGATTTATCAAAATACTGAAACGCGTAAAACGTCCTTTCTTCAAAATTCTGTTTCGTTGTCAGTGGTCATATTATGCATGTATAATAGGATTTACACATGGCCTAAGGCACCTTTTTTATGGATCAAACATGACAAATACAGTTGAAGAAATGATCAAATATCCATTATGCACGTTAAATAAAAATTATTTCTTTGCTGATTGAAATAAGTGTAAATTGTTTGTGATCATGTGTTGCAGGTTCAAATGTTGCAGGTTCAAATGTTGCATGTTCAAAGGTTGCATGTACAACTGTTGCAGGTTGAAAGGTTGCAGGTTGAAAGGTTGCAGGTTCAAAAGTTCAGGTTCAAAGGTTGCAGGATGAAATGTTGAAGGTTCAAATGTTGCAGGTTCAAATGTTGCAGGCTCAAATGTTGGAGGCTCAAATGCAGCTTAATTGATAAAAACACGGAGAGTGCAGTCATGCCAACGCAACTGAACCGTTTCAAACTAAGGCAATCATAGACAAAGAAAATTAGAGTAAGTTTCATATTTGAAAAAAATAAGCCGTTATTTACCCTCTAATTTCTAATAGGTCTCTGTAATATCCATACTGACTACAGAACTATTGCACCTTCAGCAAAGGGAGGTTGAAGTACGCTATAAATTCTGACACAGATCAAATGACTAATTATACGTTGTGCTAAAAGTATCAAAGACTTTCTCAGCGATCATACCACTATGGTTTAATATTGATAGAAACGCATCTGTCCTTATTTGTCATTACTTGCACCGCTATGTGTATTCTTGTGTTCAACAAACACACTGGTGATCTCTCATTCGGAAATCGACAATCATTTACGTGGGCTTTAGATACATTAACTGGAGAATTGTAAAAAAAAGCAAACCAAAAACTACCTAATGCATAACATCTGGTAACACTGAGCAATGAGGCTTTTCTTGACCTGTTCACAAATTCCGGCGGCAGCATCGTGGATTTGATCAGCATGGGGGGCCCTTGATTCAGGCGCAATTTTTTGGGCGGGGGAGGGGGGGCTCTAGGTGGTGGTTGTGATGGGGCGTATTTCGCGTGCATGTCGGGTTGGCAGGGTTGTGCTTTGCTTGTGGCGTGTTTGGCCGTATATGGGCTGCCCTTTGTTTTTTTGGGGTCATTGGGTTTCGGGGATTTGGGCATGTTTGTCATTGCCGGCTCTGCTGTGTGCATTCTTGTTTTGGGTGTCTTTGTGGTCTGCTTCGTGGGGTACTTAACAACAACAACCCAATTCCGTTATTTTAAAGCAAGTAGTTCAAATTTAGCTATACCACTGGTCGGGTCGGAAGCGGCAATCCGTGTGGAAAAACCATCCCAAAGTATTATTAATAATTTCTTAGTGTCAAAAGAAATCAATTTTTCTTAAAATATCTTAATCTTTTTTGCTGTATTTTTTAAAATTATTGGTTATATATCTATATATTTTTAAAGGGGTCGCAATTAGCAGTTATTATAATTATTTAAAAATGAAATCATTACAGATACAAATCACGGGCTAAAAGTGATAGAATTTCATTCAGTTTTACTTATAATAAAAGTTATTGTAAAAGATAGATTTTTATAAAAAAGGAGAATTGGGGTTCTTTTAAAACTTAATTTGAAGTCGAAACAATCTCACAACGTCAATAATATTAAAGTTTTCCCTGACGTATTAGATGCACGTATTGGGACTAAAACTAGGTGATTCTGTGCATAGTGCAGAAGACAGAGACGAATGGAGGAGGATAAATCACATGCCATCTGTGGTGCCCCAACGGTCCAAGGACTAAGGGACATGATGATGATTAGATATACAAAGGTGTAGAGGGGCAGACATAGACTAAGGCCACATTCTTGTAAGAATCAAATATAATCAAAGAATGTGTAACATTCACAATGAACAAACACCCCCCACCCAAAAACAACAAAAAACAAAACAAAAACAAAAAACAAAAAAAAAACAAAAAACAAAAAAAAAAAAAAAAAAAAAAAAAAAAAAAAACAAAAAAAAAAAAAAAAAAAAAAAAAAAAAAAACAATAGAGCAGCCAGGAATCAAGTAAGGACCCAAAAACGGAAGAGTCGAACCGAAGTAGAATTAATCAAAAAGTAATCAGCCAGAAACATTAATATAATTTGGCCATGGGAAAAGATGAAGCAGATCGTTAAAAGAGTGATCGTGAAAGAACAGGATGGTACGACGCTGAATACAGAGAACTTAGAAAAGAATCAAGTTTAACTATAAAATAAAAGGCAAAATAATAACTTGACCAATGTTTTGACCAATTCCTTTATCGTTTCAACAAAGAAAGTTCCATGAATGTTAATTAAAATACACATGATATGTTACATACATATATATCCTTCTATCGCACTCTCTCTTTTTCCCCCTCGCAT